CACATTGCCTTCCTCTGAATGTGCCCTGTTCCTGTTGACCTCTGGTCTCCGCCGCCCCTGATGCTCCTTCCCTCCCACTAGGTCCACGCTCTATACGCCCTCACTGTGCCTCTCTTGGCCTTCAAATCCTACCTCCTCCAGGAAGTCTTCTGTGATGCACCTGCTCTCCCCTAGCGTGTGGAATGCCCTTCTAGTGTACTATTGAAATACCAGCTTGCTCTGGGGCTGGAGAATGACCTCCACTGTCTGCATCCCTCACCACAGCAGGCTTCGATTTGCGACGCTCCTCCTGGATCCCTAGCCCCGTGGCCTGTGACTGGTTGGAACGACTATCTGCCTGGCAGACACTGCCATTGGAGGCCTCTCCCCTCTGGGACCTGCAGTCCCATGAAGAGGTTCCCGACTTCATTTCTTTGAGACTTGTCAAAGCTCTAACGACCTCCTCCCATGGAGCGGGGAGCATCCAGCATCGGCCCAGATCCAAGATCTTACCCTTTCCCTCTGGCTGTATTTGCTGCTAACACTTGACATGCTGCCAAGGGCCCGGGGGTAAAATTCCCTACAGAGCCGCGGTTCCAGGGACCCAATGTTATAGCCACTCTCCTGGCCCCAGCCCCTGCCCCAGGGGGTGGGCTCAGCCAGAGGAACCTGGCTGCAGCAGGGCATGGGGACCTGCCCTCTTGATTTATGAGGGCTAGTTGCACCTGCCCCCCTGTTCTTAGCACCCACAAAGCAACCCACCTGTTCTCTCCATCCCTGCTGCTGCCGCCCTGGGTCAGAGTCCCAACGCCACCTTTTTGCCTGGGATGTAGCAAAGGTCTAACCAGCCTCCCTGCCTCTAACCCGTCCCTCTCATTGTGTGAAATCCCACTCAGGGAGTGATTTCCCTCAGATGTCAATCTGACCATGATTAAAGCCCTCTGGCGGCTCCTCACTGCCGACAGGTCAGTCTAAGCACGGCCAAGGCCCCTCCGGTCAGCTTCATTCTTTGTCACTGCCGACAGGCCTGCGCTCTAGGCGCCAACGACCAGCATGTTCTCCTTGGGCTCCCTACTTTTCAGCTGCTCTGCCCTTTACCTGGTACTTCCTTCGTCTTATTTGTTCAATTCCTTCAATACATATTTGTTAAGTGCTTATGACGTGCTTGCTTCTCTGCTAGAGAAAGTCCCCAGGGGTGAAAAGGACAGGCAAAGTCTCTAAGGGTCTTGTATTCTGGTCTTCTATTTGGGAAAAGAGACAGGAGACAGTTGCATGAACCAACTAACTGTGAACAGGAACAGGTGCTCTGACGAAAAGAACCTGGGGCACATCACAGTGACTTCTAGCTTTACTGGAGGGGCAGGGCGGGGCAGGGCAAGTTTCCAAGGATGCCGATGCTGGGTCTGAGACGGGAGGATGCCTGGGGGCAGGGCGTTCCAGGCAGAGGGGAAGCAAGCACAAAGGCCCTGCCTTGGGAATGAGCCTGGAATGCAGAAGGAACAGAGAGGTGGTGGGTGTGGCTAGTGCACAGTCAAGGGCACAGTGTTTGGGCCAACTGCTGTGGAGAGCGCTCAGCGAAGGCTGCCCTCTTGCTCCTGGCCCTCTCCGCACCCAGAGAGACCATCCTCTTGGCATCTCTTAACACTTGTTACGCGGCGAGTGACTTCCGTATAGGGATGGGGTCAGCCTCTAAGTTCAACCCCAGGGCCCTACACGGTGCCCGGCAGATGGCTGGCATTCACACATGCTTGTTGAGCAAATAAATGCAGTCACAGATTGTGAGAAGTGAGAAGGACCACCGATGCCATTCCCACCCCGATGACCCACCAGGGGAAGCTGGTGGTAGGAGAAGCGGGGTGGGTCATATCTAAAGGGAGTCCCACTTCATGAGGCGCTGAACAGCAGACTTGGGGGACTCACTGATGGGGACAATTAACTGATGGCTTCATCCTGCCAAGGCTTTTTATGTGAGTCTCTTCCATGCAGGAAAAAACAAAGGCAAGAAAATGGTTTTCATTTAGTGTTTGGGGGAGAAAGTGCCGAATGGGCACTCAGATATTGATGATGATGGCAAATACTGATTTGAGCAGGAAGGAAAAACCAGAACACAGCGTTTGTCGAAACCTCTAAGTGCTTCCCAGAATCTGAGCCAGAGTTCAAGTGCTTAATGGTATTTTTTCCTCTACTTCCAGTGGGAGTGAAGGGCAGACACCGGCAAAGGCCTGGAGGGTGATGCGGGGAAGGGCCGGAGCTTGAGGGGACCCCACTGTGCCCTGGGAGCTGAATACTGGAGGGCAGGGTGGCAGTCTTCTCTAAGCGCTCTCCACAGCTGTTGTCCCAAACACTGTCCCGGTAAAGGGCCAGGCAGATGTGTCCTCTACACCTTCCACAGACACCCTCCCCTGCCACTGGGAACCGCAAAGAATTCTCATGACATCCAACATAAGTATATAAACAATAGGGGCGCCTGGGTGGCTCAGTCATTGAGCATCTGCCTTCGGCTCAGGTCATGATCCCAGGATCCTGGGATCAAGCCCCGCATCGGGCTCCCTGCTCCGTGGGGAGTCTGCTTCTCCCTCTCCCACTCCCTTTGCTTGTGTTCCCTCTCTCGCTCTCTCTCTGTCAAATAAATAAAATCTTAAAAAAAAAGAATATAAACAATAACAGTAATAGTAATAAAACAGAATTCTGACTCTTTCACCTGCTCACAATATCCTTCCAACCTGCTTCCTGCCTTCCTGATGCTCAGCTTCTGCTGTTCTCCTCCTCCCCCTCCAGCCCCCCAGGGGAACACTGGCCATCCTGCAGGTCCTCATAGCAGCCCTAGCTTGCCCCAGGGCCTTTGTACTGGCCACTCCCCCCCTACCTGGAATGTACTTCCCCTGCTCTGCCACCTCCCTCCCCAGCTTTCCTGAGGTATAATTGGCAATATCAAAAAATTACACGTCATGAAAATAATTTGGTGAGTTTGGACTTATGTTACCTTTGGGTTACTTTCACCACAATCAAGGTAATAAACATATCCATCGCCCCCACCCCCTGCAAAGTTTCTTAGTTTTTTTTCCTGTGTGTTACGAGTGTGGTCAGAACACTTAACATGAGATCTACCCTCTTAAAATGTTTAAGTGCACCATACCCTGTTAACTACAAGCACTACGTCGTACAGCAAATCTCTGGGACTTACTCATGTGGTGTAACTTCGTACCCACCGAACAAGGGCTCCCCGTGACCCCGCTCCCCATCCCCTGGTAACCAACATTCTGTTGTCTAGCTCTGTACGTTTACTATTTTAGATGCCTCCCCTGTGAGGCGTCATGCAGTATTTATCCTTCGGTGACTGGCTTCCTTCACTTAGCTTACCATCTCCCTGGCCCACCCGTGTTGTCAAAGGGTAAGAGTTCCTTAGTTTTTAAGGTTGAACAACGTTCTATTGGACACACGCAGCACATTTTATCCGTTCATCTGTGGGTGGGCAGGGAGGCTGTCTCCACCTGCAGCCAACATGAGTAATGCTGCAGTGACCAGTGCACATACTGTCTTCAGGGATCCCAATCTCAAGTGTCTGGGATACATCACAGAAGTGGGACTGCTGGGTCATAGGACAGTCCTCTTTGTCGTTTCTGGGGGAGCCTCCTTCTTGTTCTGCACAGCGGCCTCGGAATCATGTATCCAACCAGTAATGGACAGCATTCCAATTTCCCCATGTCTCACCAATTCCTGTTATCTTTTGTTCTTTGGTAAGCAGACATCCTAACAGGTGTGCGGAGGTAGCACACTGTGGCTTTGGTTTGTATTTCCCTCACCCCTTGCTCTTCTATGGCTGGTTCTTTCTTGTCATTCAGGACTCAGAGGGAACATCACCTCCTCGGAGAAGCTCCCCCCCCCCCCCCCCCCCACGACTCTGCAGACCAGTGGAGTAGCCCAGCTGCTCGTTAATATGCCACCATGGAGAACCTGCCACTGGCTGATCACTTTCCCTGAAGGTTCATATGGTTATCAACTGTTTCCCCCCTGAGAATATTAGCACCACGACCGCAAGGACCGGTGTCCTTTTGTACCTGTGAGTGCTCAGTGCTCAGAACAGGAAGGCCCTCAGTAAATGTTCGCCAAATAAACAAATTACTTGTGTGTCTAATACTGAGGGTCAAGGAAAGGGAGGAAATACTTATTGAGCATCTGACATATGGCCGGGGCTGAGCCAGGGGCTTCAAATGCAATTTCATACTTAATCTCAAAACACGCCTTTAAGTTTTGCATCTCCATTTGGTGGTTGAAACGGAAGCACAGAGAGGCTGAGTAACTTGCCCGAGGTCACATACTTGGTAACTGGACCAGCCCAGGTCAGCCTGACCCGCCATGCCCTCCCTGCCGTTTTCCTGACAGTATGCTTCTTCCCCATTTCCTGCTCCCCGGGACTTGAAGTGACTCTCAACTTGGCTCCTTGCTGGCTGTGAGCAACCCACTGCACCTCCCTGTGCCTCCATCTCTCCACTCCTACTGGGAAAAGAAAGAGGGTCTCTGTCAACATCAGATGAGATATAACCCAGGAAAAAATTATCAGCAGCGAAGAAATAGGAAGATACAGGTGCTAACTTTGCCTGTGACCACGTACCTAACACTTTCTTCACCTAGGCAAACCCTCCAGGAGCCAGTTACTCGTGAGGATCTTTGATGCCACCCACGCGCTGACCACACTGAATCCTCCTGACTCTCCCGCATGGGTGCCATGTCCACAAGGACCTCAGAGTTTCCCGGCTATGGAGAGACACGCTGTCTACTGTTTCACGGGAGCTCTGGCTCCGGCTTCCTCCGCTTGGAAACCCCCTCCGACTCCACCCTGTGCGGGCCGAGCGTCCCTGCTCTGCGCCCACAGCGATGAGCATGGAGGGGAGCTGCTGATGCACCTGTCTCCCCCAGCAGCTGGGATGCCCAGGGCAAGCTCCGCCGGCGTCCTGTCCACCTCAGGCGAGCCTGGAGCCCGGCATGGGGGGGGCGGTCCCTGCGCCCCACGAGCCACTTACGTTTTCACTGTTGACATCAGCTTCACTGGGGCAGCCGAAGAGCTCTCGCCTCAGCAGGTTGCCGTCGTACTCCAGGAAGGTCAGGTAGAGGTTGCGGAAAAACTCCACGTGCTTGTTCTTCACCCGCAGCTTCTTGGGGGAGTTCCAGTGGATGACCTAGCAGGGAGACAAGGAGGCAGGCAGGCAGGGAGGACCTCGTGCTCGTGCGCAGACTCGGCTGGCCACCGGTCTAAGCATCGTTTGTGGGCTTGTCCATTCACTCACTCACTCACTCATTCCTTCACCATTCACGGTGGTGGTGGGTGGGGGGGTGAAGAGGAAGGGCGCTGAGGCCGTGTGGTGTGGGTTCAAATCCTGCCTCTGACCTTGGGCAAGTGACTTACTCTCTGTGCCTCAGTTTCCTCGCCTGTGAAATGGGGAGGGCAACAGCTCCTGCCTGTACCAGTGTGTAAGCTTCTTTCTCTCAGCTCCCAGCCTGCTTTGCGATGCTGAGGTCGGGACTCTGCAAACCCTACTTCTACTTTGCCAGCCGCCTCCCGTTAGATGCTGCCAGCCGGGGCCGCAAGAGGGAGACCGGGAGTTTGGGGGAGGAAAAAGGAACGTGCCCCCCCCCCACCCGTGCTTCCTGTTCCTGCAAGCACCACCCTACCTCCCTTCTTCGAGGCAGGCACCGGGCACTTCCTTCCTGTAGCAGCAGCTAGAATCGTTTTGCAGCTTTCCCAGCACTCAGGACAAGGTTCCTGGTCTGCCTCTGGAGCTGCCTGCTGTCCCCCAGCCCAGGTTGTAATGCTCCCCATCCCCACTCTGCTCCTTCGGCTCTGGGACGGGAGCTGTTTTCCTGCGATTTTCTAGTTTTGCTTTTTTTTGGTTACCAAATCAACACTTTATGTCTAGTTGCCATTTTTAAAGATGAAATTCTCTGTTCAGATAATTGGTATGGTTGCGGCCTCCAGCCAGGACTCACGGATGCACCGTGTCAACAGAGCTGCCGTGAAAAATAAACTTGTTCATACGTGTAAAGCGTGCGAGTCGTGTCTGGCAAAAGGTGAGCGCTCCATAAAGGCTGGCTAGTAAGTGCTTACAGTGGACCAGGTTGGGAGGGGGCAGCGGCCTCTGCTGACGGTGCTCACCCTTGGTTGGCAGGCGGTTGGCCAGAGACCTGTCCACAAACGGCACAGAATGTGATGGTGGAGGGAGGCTCAAGGGGAACGGGAGCTCTGCAGCAGGAGCTCTAGCGATGCACGGGCTGGGGCTTGAAGGATGAACCAGAGTTTCCCCGGAGGCAGGGGCCAGCCGGCACAGAGGGGAGGGTGGTGGCACGGTCCAGGCAGAGGTGGGTGGGAGAGGAGGCTGCGGAGGTGAGCAGGGCGCAGGGAGAGCCCGGCTCCATGCAGGTCATGCTCAGAGCTCAGCTGTGGCGCTGGGGAGCTTACAGAGGGGGAGATTACTAACTCCGGGTTTCAGTAAGATGCTCTACTGTAATGGACAAGCCAGGAGTGGAGGCGTGGGAGGCCAAAAGAGGAGCTAGCAGGGACAGCTCGTGACCTTGGCCGGGGAGCTGTCTGGGGCAGGGCGGGGGTGGGTCCTTCACCACCAGGATTATGTCATGGTCTTTTAATGCTCACGGTGACCTGAATAAGGAATGCAATTTTAGGGATGAAGAAACTGGAGAAATGACTTGCCCAAGGCCACAAAGTTGGTAAAAGTGGCAATGGGGATTCAAACCTAAGTTTGAGTAAACCTGATTCCAAAGCCCCTGTTCTTCTGTCCTGGAGGAGCCAGGTTTTTAAAACTTCCCTGTTAACGCCTGGTCACATTACAGAAGAAATAAACTAGCTCTCACCTTCCCCCCACTCGCCTCCCATGGTGGAGGGACCAGCATAGCTGACACTGAGACAGAGGAAGGGAATGGGGTGTCCAGAGCTCGGTCCCTTCCTGGCTCCCTCCTTTAGCCAAATTCTGTCTGCAGGCACCTGAACAGGTCCACCATTTGGAGAGATCTGGAAGGCCCCCTCTCTCAGGGTCCCCTGGATATATGGCAGCCACAGACAGCCCTTGCAGCTGGCTGGGTAATAACGCTCTGCAAGACCAGGTCCCTCTCTCATGGCACAGGCAACAACAGGAAACCTATGTGGTACAAACCGCATCCCCTGCCCTCCCATGACCTGCATGGTGCAATGGCAGAGCAAGAACCAGGGACGTCAGGCCAGCCTGACTGTGAATCTCAGCTCTTCATTAGCTGTGTGGGTCCTTGGGCAGCTGGTCTTATTCCCTGCGGCCTCGGTGTCTTCACGTGCAAGGTGGGAACCTGCCATCCCGACTCCACAAAGTCGTTATGAGGCTTAAAGAAATGCCTAGCCCAGTGCCTGCAGGCCAGGGTGACCCCGAATTCTGTGGGTTCCCTTCTTCCCTCAAAGATGGCAGCAGCGGCCTGCCTACCAGCATTCTGCACCCCTCTCTCCTCCTGCGAGAAGGGCGTCCACTGGAGCAGTGAGCCAGGAAGTGTGTTTAGCATCCAGGACAGTGTAGCAGGGCCAGGAAGTGTGTTTAGCATCCAGGACAGTGTAGCAGGGCCAGGAAGTGTGTTTAGCATCCAGGACAGTGTAGCAGGGCC